ATACTTAGTTTAATTAAGTTTAGTTCCAAGAAATCCGAATGCCAGTTAAAGACTGAACACTATAGTGAGTGAACCCTAGAGGGCTTGAACGAACGCTCATATTAGAAAATTTTAGCTTAAGGAGATAGAACGAGTGCTTGGTGTAAGACCAAACACTTGCTTAGGACGAACACTTGATATAAGACCAGGTGCTACTAAACTTATAGAAAAGAGGCCTGATAATTATACTAAGATACTATTGGAGTAGTATTTAAGAATAACTAAAATATACAATTTCATATATATATATATATATATATATATATATACATACTTAAGTTTATAACAGGATATCAAGAAGGAACTATGTTTGGCCGAACGCTCAAGCACAGTATTTCGAAGTACAGACGCTCGTCCTCAACTAGGATTCTTCCCAAATGAAAGAATCCACTACTAACCAAATTCACTAGAAAACCGAACGGTCAAGGACCGTTCGTTAACGTACGTACACTTTCTTAGGGGAAATTTCATACCAGGATCATTGACATTCCAACTCATTTCTTAAGACCTAATTTCATAACTTTATACCTTCATATAAAAATTTATTTGCATACTTCGTACAATCCATAACTCAATAAATAATCATATTCATACTTTAGAAATCATATTCCCCATAAACAATCATATCAACATTCATACTTTATATACATTCAACCACTCAGAAACATACATTCATTACCAATGAACGAGCAAAGAACATACAATTAAATTAGATAAGCTTCCCTTACCTTTAGTGTGAACGATCGTCCTAAAGGCAGATTTTGGTTCGTCTGACTAGAGATCTTTCTACTCTCAACGCTCAACAACCCTTCAAACTAAACCAAACAACATAAAATTAATAATGGCTCAGTCCAGACGACAGCATGCAACCAAAACTTGGTTTGCATGTACCAGAAACGATCGGTTAAAGACAAGGAAACTTACCGGTTTCAGAACTCGAAACTGTTCGGTTCAAAATGAAACTTGGGACGCCGGGAGTGCTCCTACGGTGCCTGAACGGAGATCGGAAAAGAGAAATGGTGAGTTTTGGTAGAGAGAAGGAGGAGAATTTGAGAAAAAAAATCAGATTTTGGAGAAGAAGATGCATGCAGAGAGTGTGACGCGATTTTCAGAAAATTTTGTTTTGTTAAAACCGAACGTCTGCTCCTCTGTTGACACCTGCATTCCACTATCTGATTTCTGATCCTCATTGCTTGACACCTGACGTCCGTTCAAAGGAGTTTTTGGATGCGTTTTTAATGAGATCTGACCAAATTTAAATATATCAATTTTAAATAAACTTATCAATAATAGTTAAATAATTTGGTTAACTACTTTATTTAGTTTTCACCAAACTTCATCAATCACAAAGACAAATCTAGAACTTGAAGGTGCAGGATGAAACACTTGGAGAGGTGTAGGGTGAAAGATCCCAAATTAAATCCTAGGAGATCTTAAGTGGCTTGGGAGTTGGGTGTCAGGCTTGACCAGTGGTTGCTGGTTCTAGTGCAATGGTCTTGAACTCTAATCAAAACTGAATTTGAAAAGTATTATTTGACACATTTAAATTTTTTATATTAATTTACATTATTTTTATTTATTTTTTACTTTTTTTTAAATATAAAAATTTATATTTTATGATCAATTTTACTGTGTGTCAAAATATGTTATGGTATTATTGTTTTTTTATTACGGTTGGGTGCACATATTTTTCGTTCAATGAACTTTATTCCAATATGGGATCCGATAGACTAAAACGGAACTTGCTGAGTAAGTTTATGATGGTTGAATAACTTATTAAGATATAAATTATATAAATTTTAAATCTATTGTTTTGCTTCTCCCAATTTTTTTTTTCTTTTGTATGCTTTTACATTAAGTGATTAAATGGTATTGTTCTTTAAAATTTTCTAGAGTATCTAAAAAAAACCGATACTTTTATTTAAGTACATTTATTTTAAAAAAAATGAAGCATTATGTTCAATATATAATTAAAGAAATTTGTGATCTGTACAAGTTTAAGTGGATAATGTTTGCTTCACAGAATAAGAATAAAGGGTTTTGAAATAGAAGGAAGAGGGAACACCAGTTCTCCTACTTTAACGTATATCCACTATCGTTTGGGAGATAATTTTTTGATTCGTTTCTCTTCAGTTTTCCTTCTGGTTTTTTCATGGTTTTCAGAAAGGTTCATGCATGACAAGGGGTTACCCTGCACACCGTTTTGTACAAGCGTACAATGGATGGCAGAAACTCTTCGATCCTTCTACGATCGTGCAAAAACAACAAACTATTGAGCTTACTACGAAGGACAATTCCACAATTTCTTTTCCCATTGTTTGTCATTCACTATTTCATTCTCATTCTATAGGCATATTTTATACTGACAATCCTGTTTCTCACTCCTTCACATTCATATTGTTGAATCTCGCTTTCATCAGCATCATCACACGTTCTATCAGATTTCTTCTTAAGCCCTTAAGACAACCTCTTTTCATATCTCAGTTAATAGTAAGCTTCATTTTAATATATATATATATATATATCCTTATAAACAAAGTTATTGTTATGATTATCTATCTAATTAATCGAATATGTTGTTAAAATTTTCATGTATAAGGGTGGAATCATCATTGGACCTTCCCTTCTGGGGAGAAGTACATGGTACGAAAGTCACATAAAAACCGAGACAACAACGTTCATAATAAACAACCTTGGAATAATGGGATTCGTCTACTTTATTTTCCTTTATGGTGTGAAAATAGATTTAGGTATTCTAAAAAGAACAACGAAAGTGCATATATCTACTGCAATTGTTGGCATTGTAATTCCGACAGCAACAGTGTTGGCTGTGGCACTAGCGATGAGAAAGAACATGGACGAAAATTTGGCAAAGCTTTCGTCACTAGGATCAATTGCGTCATACTTGGGGACATCATCATTCCTTACTATCTACCATATCCTGGAAGAGTTTAACCTTCTAAATTCAGATGCTGGGCGAATATCATTGTCCATAGCAATAATTGGTGACTTATTTGGTTTGTTTATTTTCTTAGCGTTTGATGCAGCACACATGGGAGAATTTGGGATAATGAGCGCGGTCGGGTTTATGTTTTCTCTTGTGTTGATCGTAACGTTCCTTTTATTTTGTGTTCGACCTGCAATGATAAGGATCAACAAGAATACTGCTGAAGGGCACCCAGTGAAAGAATACTTTGTAGTTGTGATGCTTCTAGGGGCTTTTGTTATGGGTTTGGTAACTGATGCAGTGGGCATGGCCGTTGCCACTGGACCATTCTTTTTAGGGTTGGCAATTCCAGATGGGCCTTATGTGGGAGCAACACTTGAAAAGAAAACCTCAGCAATTCTGGGTGATTTCTTTCTACCATTCTCCTTTATTATGGTTGGATCATATACTGATTTCTATTCCATGACTGCTTCTGGTTGGTCCGCTTTATCACCATTGACTACCATGATCATTGTTGGCTACCTTTTGAAATTCTTTACCACTTGGATTAGTTTGCATCTCTTTCGAATGCCATTAAGGGATGGACTGACCGTGAGCCTCATCATGAACTTAAGAGGCCTAACAGAACTTATATTGTTTGTCTATTATATGGAACAAAGCGTAAGAAACTACACTCTTTTCTTTTTCTTAATTTCATTCACTTGTGTAAATGATTGACCCAATTCTTGTGCTTAATTACAGTTCGTAAAGGTGCCGGGCTTCTCATTGTTGATATTTATGACATTATCATTGACAGCAATTTCTTGTCCTTTGATCTCTATATTGTATGATCCAACAAAGCCATACATGGTGAACCAAAGGAGAAACATTCAACATCACCCTCCAGACAAAGAGTTCAGAATAGTGTTATGCATTTTTGAACAGGATGACATACATGGTCTCACTCATCTACTTGATATCTCCAATCCAACCGAAAACATCCCTTTTTCAGTTTCAGTTGTTAGACTGAGTGAGCTCGTAGGTCGAGTCAACCCTTTGTTCATAGACCATGAAAAGCAACAAGTGCCTCCCAATTATCAATGGAGTAGCACCATACACGTGCTTGAACGTCATCAAGAACTCAAAGAACCCTACATGAAGTTTCATTTCTTCACGGCTGTCACCCCAAAAAAGACCATGTTCCGAGACGTATGCGAGCTTGCCCTAGAACAAGAAGCTTCTTTGATCATCTTACCTTTCAACAGGAATGTCCATAACCATATGCAGTCGCAAGTCTTGAACAATGCACCTTGCTCGGTGGCAATTTTCGTTGACAAGGGTCTTCTTAAGACCAGTAACACCTTAGGCAGTTTTCAACGAAGTAAATATCGATTTGCCGTGTTGTTTCTTGGGGGTGGAGATTCTAGAGAGGCTCTTGTTTATGCAGATAAGATGCTTGCTCGCCCTCAGGTGTCTCTCACAGTTATAAGGTTTCTCACTCACAACTTTGTAGGGTACAACGAAATCGAGAAGAAGCTTGATGATGGAATTGTGACTTGGTTCTGGGTTAAGAATGAGGCTAATCAGAAAGTGGTGTATAGAGAAGTGGTGGTTAGAAATGGAGAAGAAACGATCGCAGCGATTCAAGCTATGAATGATGGTGCTTTTGATCTTTTGATAGTGGGAAGGAAACATGGGATAAACCCTATTCTTCTCACTGGTTTATCAGATTGGATTGAAACTGAAGAGTTGGGACTCATAGGAGATTATGTTTCTTCTGCAGATTTTTTTGGCTCGGCTTCTGTCTTAGTTGTTCAACAACAAATCTTAAGAGGCTAACTATTAGATAGACAAATTAACCTGAATATCAAGAATAGCATTTAGATGAAGACAAAAACCCTAGTTTTTCTTACAAAACAATAGATAAATGTAAATGTTCTCTAGAGTTATGAATCTCTTACTTCATAATCATAGGTAAGTGTATAGATCAAATAGAAAGAAAAGAAAAAAAAATCATTCTTTTTTATCAAGTTATGCGTTAACATTTTCTCTCTTATCATACATTCAAAACTAAATAAACAGTTAAATGATAACTGATGCAGATAATATATCTACATTTTACATAACAACTGAAATTAATGAAATATAAAACTGGGTCAAGTTCACTTCGTTGATTATGCAGATAACATATCTACATTTTTCTCATAGGACGAGTTAAAGACAATTTCAGTAGAAGTTATGGGATGGTGATATAACTTCTTTGTTATAGCATTGGGCGTGAAGTCGTGGGAGGTCTAAGAATGTGTTATTATTGTGTCTAACTAAATTCAATAGAAAAAGAAATTTTGGAATACATTATTTTTGCTCATGTTATTCAAAGCAAATAATTTTCTATTTTTATATATTTTTCTAAATAAAACCTTTTTCTAAACAAAATTTCGATATTTCTTTAATTTTAAATATTATTTTTATATTTTTTCCTAATAGAAATTTATATTTTTTCAAATAAAAAATATATTTAAACTGCATCTACATTAAACGAGTCTAGTTGAGAAAATAAAATGGATGTGAGTCTAATGATGATAATAAAGATGTTAAAGAGTTTCTTAAAGGAAAAATTTGTCAGGTATTAAACCAAAAGTCAAAAATTGAAAAATGCCACAAGTCAAACTAGAGAAGATAACAAGAATTTTAAAATGTCACACCTTCCAAATATTAATGAAAAAGACCAAATTAGTTTTATTTAAAATATATTAAAACTCAATTGAGTAAAAAATATAAAATTCCAAAGTAAATATAATTAAATATAAAATCCAAATTATTATTATTATTATTATTAATTTTAATTTTTAACATTTCAAGTATTGAGCACCCATTTTCTTAAAAAAATAAAAAGTAATGACTGAAGTTGCTTTGTTTGAAGCAATTATGTTTGGAATACGTTGGATGCTTGGTGCGTTCAAAAGCATAGGATGTCCTGTGTCCATCAAAGTGCTTTTCTTAGTCTCTGAATTTCAAATTATTGGCAATGAATTTTAATGTTGTTCATTAAAAAGGAGAGTTTGGCGTGGAGGAAGAACTCGGCTTAGAGGAGAGCTAGGCATGGAGAAAGAGTTAGGCTGCAAGAGAGAGCTCAACTTGGAGAGATAATTCGACCTTTAAAGAGAGTTCTGCCAAGAGGGAGAGCTCGAGCTGGAGTAAGAGCTCAATTTTGAGAAGGAACTTTGCTTGGAGCGAGAGCTTAGCATTGAGAGAGAACTGAGTCTGGAGGGATAACTCGACGTGGAAGGAGAGCTCGGCTTTGAGAAAGAGCTTTGCTTGGAAGGAGAGCTCGACCTGGAAGGAAAGCTTGGCAGGGAGGAAAAGTTAGGTGCAAAGGGAGAGCTCGGGTCGGAGGAAGAGTTTAGCCTTAAGAAGTAGCTCTACATAGATGAAGAACTCGGCCTCGAGGGAGAGCTCGACTTAGAAGAGAGCTCAGGCTCAAGGGAGAGCTCCGCCTGGATTGAGAGCTCGACCTCAATGGAGATCTCGTGTGGAGGGAGAGCTTGACCTGGAGGGAAAGCTTAGTCTGGAAGGATAGCTCAGCTTCGAGGGAGAGCTCCGCATGGAAGGAGAGCTCGGGCTCGAGAGAGAGCTCCATGTGGAGGGAAAGTTCGGCTTTGGGAAGGAGCTTTGCCTAGAGGGAGAGCTAGAACTGAAGGGAGAGCTCAGCCTGAGGGAGTGGTTTGAGGGAGGGTGGCCTCTAAGAGCTCGGCTTGAAGAGCTCGGTCTTGAGGAGCTCAACTTGAAGGAGGTTAGCCTGTTCCAAAATATTCATTATAATTTATTAACACGTGTTCCAAATAATGACTTTTTTTATCATTATCATCTATACTAGTTTAACAACTCATTGCTTTTAAAAGATTGGAATGTGACACTTCAATTTCATGCTTTTAAATATCCTTTCATATAATCGGTCATCCTCGAGAAATTCGGCTTAGAGACCTTGTCTCTAAATCTCAACTTGAAGGAGGTCGATCTATAAAAGCTCAACTTAAAAGATGTTAACATAAAGAACTTCCCTTAAAGGAAAGTGATCAAATAGATATCAACTTGTACAATCTCAACAACTTAATAAAAAAACTCAACCTAAAAAACTTAGTATGAAAAACTTGACTAAAGAGAAACTCAACCAAACAAATATATAATACAATTATTTTAATAATAATAATCACAATAATACAACCTAATTTTTATCATATCTCGTTACATAATAATACGGTTTAAACCCTCTTTTATTCCTCATATTGTCAAGTGTCTAAATTAGTCCAACATTTTGAAAAATTGAACCAATTTTGTCCTTTCCGTTAAATGTTCTCAAACGGTGTTAACAGATGCTGAGCTGTAATTATTTTTAAGAGGACGTGTCATTGTGATTAAATTTAGTGAGTGATGTGTTTTACAATCTCAATTCCACCTAACATTTAAAGAGCCTCCGATCTACGTCTCCCGCACGACACGCTCCACCAGCTCTTCTCTTCCCTACCCCTCTACGTCCTCCCCTGTCGCTGCTCCACTGGCACCACCAACAACAACCACCACCAACAATCACCACTCACAAATTCAATTAAACCTAACAGTTTCAAGCTCATAAATGGGAACACAAAATCAAAATCCCAATTCAACTCCAACTTCCAAAAATGTGATAAAAACCTACATAGAAAATCCAATGAACCATCTTAGAAATTCCAATTTCAAGACCGCAATACACTAACAGGAAATCCCAAGAGAACCCAATCAAAAACCAGAGAAAGATGGAGAGGAAAGGAAGCTTGCCCTTGCGCCATTGTCAAGAACAAATTGGAACCCTGGTAAGATAAGAAATCAAGAAAATTGAAAAAGAATGGGAAACAATCATAAAAGTAAAATGGTGCTCTTCTACTACCCACTTCACTATAGTCACAACAGTGCTCCCACTACAGAAGCAATCCCCATAGAGTTCATTTTATCCTCTGTGGAGGAATCCTTCTCAAATTCTACACTATCAGATTTTACATTCCCTTTGAAGCAAGTTTTACCAGACCCATTTCGCTTTGATTCAGAAGAATGCAAAAATGATAGAAGTTTAAGAGGTAGAGCATCCTTAACTTTGTGTGCAACAAGATGACCGTATGGACCATGCCCATCAAAAACACCACAAAAGATCATATCTTCAGACATGAAATCCTGCACAGATACAGATCCAAAATAGGATTCAATGTCTAAAATTAACATTCTCTCTTTAAGCAATAACTAATGCATTATCCTACTCAATAAATGCATGCTTAGCTTAATCCCTTTTTTTTCAAGAAATAATTGCTTCTTTTGACATTTCGAAACAAAAAATAATCCCTTCTCTAAAATTAATCTCAACTCAACATGAAATAGGATGGACATACTTACTTCCCACACAATCATGGCATCCTGATTAATACCCTTGCGGCCCTGCTGCGTAAAGATGCACGAACCCCGACTCTTTCCATTAGAGAAAATTCTACTGGGTAAGGATGGTAAATGGTGAAGAGAAATAACATGATCAGAGAGCATTCATCGCCGGTGGGGCAGATGAATGCGAAGATCTTCCCGGAGGGGTAGATGTTCCCGGTGGGGAGAACATTCATCACCGACGAAGTAGCAATCTAGCCGGAGTATATCAGCGGCGTCGACACGGATCCAGAGTCGGATCTCGTATGACCCAGTTTGAAACCACACACCTCTTTCCCTCAGCTCATCCATCTCCGCCGTGCAAACCAGAACCTTGAGAAAGGAAAAGATTCAAAAGGAAAGATGAAGACAGTGAAGAATGATGAAGACTCTGAAAAAACGTATCCCTGATGCAAGTTCAGGAAAAAAATCCCTAATTTCCTACCACATCAAAAACTGTTTTTCTAAATATAAATATCCACGTAATTTAATCTTTAATACTGAACTAATAATAATAATATGTAGATCAATTAATGAAAGAGGATTTAATTAATTCATTTTAATAAATTTATGAACCGGATTAAAACTGAAGAAAATAATACACACAAATACAAGAAAAAGAAAATAATTTAGACCTAATAATTCCGTTACTTTATTATTTTTATACACAATTTGAAAATCATTATTTAAAAAATCCGTGAGGATGCAGGGGTCACCGGCCAGTAAATCAAATAAAAAGGTAGTGAAATCCTCGAAAACAGGGGTGTGGTGACGTCAAATCGCACTCGTCAAGCTCTCACATATCATCTTTTAAGATTAAGGTCGTGTTTAGGTGACGCGTTTCAGTCGGTGATTCCACGGAGTTAGGAATGGAGGACGACGGTTCCAGCTCGATCCGCCGCATGTCAAGCCGAACGCGAAAAGTTGCGTCCAAAATGGCCGCCGCACTTGCCAGCGCCGACAACCGCACTCAGGCAGCTATCTCCTCTGAATTCTTCTTCTGTTTTCCAATTTCTCAAAAAAAAAAATGTATTAACATAAAATTGAATGAGGAATCTGATAGAAGTGCGTTTCTCCTACAATTTAATTCAGGCGGCACTTGCGCGCTTGGATGCTTTGGAGAATGACAATGCGGGTTTTGAAATCGCAGATGCCAATAACGATGATGATGAAGCTTCTCTCGACGAGGAGGATCAATGTTAGTGTTTCTTTTCTACTTTGAAAACATTCATTCAAGATCTGAGTCATGCAATCTTCATCTAACGACTGCTTGAATGAATGTAAATTCCAACGTGATATTTCCTGAGTCAAAGTGCTTTTTTTAGGGTAAAATGGGGCACTGACTTCGATTTTATTGAAATTCAGGGAGTGTAATTTTTTAAAGATCCTTTGGTGAAATTTGTATGTTTTAAAAACTATTATAAAAATTATGTATAGATTTTAAAAATTATTTGATTCTTGTCAAAATTTGAAATTCTCTTAGTTCCTTTTCTTTACAGTTTATATACAGAAGAAGCAGTCTAAAGGCACAAAAAGAAAGACCAGACAGGCAAAAGCACTTGAAGCTAGGAGGGCCCCGAGAACATTCCTTGAGCTCTTGCATGAGGTCAGTTATTACATCGACCACAATTCACACACACTAGTGACACTCCTGTTTAACTTTTGCCTTGGTTTATGATTTTGTTAACCAACCTTCTGCAATTGTAGGCTAACTTAGAATCATTGTCACCTCACGTGCCCTCCTATTGGAAAGCCGCAGTTGGACCTCCAAGCTCAACCTCCCGTCGCCCCTTCTGTACCGTTTGTGGTTTTTCTGCTAATTACACTTGTGTGAGATGTGGTATGCGCTTTTGTTCCTATAGATGTCAAAATGTGCACAATGATACTCGTTGCTTAAAATTTGTAGCCTAATTCATGGCCCACAAAAATGTGCACAAGAACATTATTGGACGCACTATTGTAACTTGTTATATATCAGTGTTCACCAGCACTATGTGCAAGCAAGCTCTTTGCTCAATTTTCCTCTTTTGTTACCTTTTAAGACTAGTGGTTCAGTTATTAAGTCACAAGGTGAAATTGTATATATTGACCCCTATTTGATCCTATTGATCTATGTAACCTTGCTAAAGATGTCCTTCGAAGTTATTAAATTCTATGATTCACAATTCAAATCCTACAATTTGACGTGATTTGGTTTTTCTATCAACATGGATCGTACGATTTATAATTGATACGTGTCACACGATTGAACAATTTGTCATCTTTCCATTTACTTCTTTCAACAATTCTCAAGAAAAAAATTAAATGACCGTATCTAGACTTATCTTAGTTGATTGTTCCTCCTCAACATTTTTCATTCAGTGCATCCACTCTATTGGGTTATATTCATTGCTCCATTTGCATTCTTTTGAAATAAAGGCTTTACCAACTCATAGTTAATAATTTTGATTTGTAATGCTAATGACATATAAGTTGTTTTTTTTTTTTTTATTTCTACTTTTAGATTATTACATTGAACAATTTATATAATATATTTGAAGTAATTTTTCATTGTTTATGAATCTTAAGATTCAAGTTTTATCTTGTTGATTAACAAATTGAATATTGATTTGGTGACCTTGATGTCCGTAGTTGCAATAACTTAAGTTATCAGTTCGGTCATCTTTAATATGCCACTGGGATTATTCTGTTGTATTTTTGTTATGGAGTATCTTTGTTTGTGACTTTGTCTGCATGTCTTTGATTAGACTATCTCCAGGGAAGCTTACTTGCTAGAGTTTGCTGTTATGTTCTTTAGTTTCTTATTATTGTGCATGAATCTTATAACATGGCAGTTGATGCATGCTGTGGATTTAGACCATCATAGAGGTCCAATGATTTCTTTGCATGTTAAGTATCAGGAACAGTCAGGATGAACTTCACATTTTTGTTCATGTTGACCTGGTAAAAATTAAATGTACCATGTTTTATGTTGTTCGGACTCCTTTTTACAGAATAGTACATCTTCACATTGCAACAAGTGCACAATTCTTCCACTGTAGGATATGAAATCGGGTTCTGGTACTGAAATATTTTTTTTTTATCACTGGTCAGAATTGTATAGTTTTTGTCAATGAAATATTAAATTGGTAATAGTAATGATAAGACATCATTTAAATATTATTTTTCTTTAAATAGAGTTACAGTGCCGTCTAATCAACATACCACAAACATACAGCTCAGTTAAGCTTAATTTAATTCTAGTATGGGAACTGCAGAAAGCCATACTGTCTGTTTGGCAAATTCTTGAACTTGTAGTACACAACAATAAATTTATTAACTACTGATGCTTTCTTAACCTTAACATTGGGGTAGATCTGGCGGTGGAGGTAGTACTGACTGTGAAAGGCCGACTCCATTTTCTACCAGAAGTGCCATGCCCAAACCCCAATTCAGATGTGAGTCTATGTGGCAATGGATGAACCAAATTCCTGATTTGCATTAGTGAAAGAAAACCATGGAATAGATTAATATGTGATGCTGGTACAAACTGCAGAAGCAAAGTTTTACAGTACTACAATACGTTACCTGGATTGTCAGCCACAAAACGAATAGCCACCCATCCTCCAGGAGGCGTTCCAATGGTGTTCCTGACAGGTGGGTCTACAAGATTGAACTTGAGTGGATCAGTAGCTGGGTTGAAGTTGCCAAAACCTGAACCGACTACAAAGAAGTGGAATCCATGAACATGCATAGGATGTTCCTCTGTGGTCACTATGCTTGTGTCTTGCAGAACAATTTGCATCTTCGAGCCGTACTTCACCTTGTAGAGCTTAGTTCCCCGTGAAGGTGTCCATAGCCCCCTTGGTACATTCCCAGTATAATCAAATTGTACAGGGGGAACAGGGGGAAAGTCTGTGGTGAAGACACCGGGTATTCTTTCATAGTACGCTTGCATTAAGGAGGTGGTTCTTGGGAGTTCAAATGATACATTGTTCATGCTGGCTGTGAAGCGGGTTCCGTTCGGTCCTTGACACCGGGGACTATTAGGATTCGTGCAATTGATTAATCCCAACCCCACTATGAAATATAGATTCACATCAACTTTCGTAAAGACTTTAATCTGAGTAAGCCCTCTAATCCTAGCAGTGAAAGCAGTTGCAGTGGCAGTGTCGTTGAAGGCAGGCAAAGCTGGCAAGACTGGCCTTGATCTGTTTTGGCTACTGCGTCTAGTAGATCTGTATTCTAGGATTGCAGTGGTGGTGGTATTGTCAAACGGAGCATTCACAGCAGATTCATAGGCGCGTGCTGCCATGTAGTAGAGACCTTGGGGTTGATCAGCAGTGACTAGGACATTGAATGTCTGACCAGGTCCTATCATGAGGACTGTGGTTCTAAAGGGCTTGGTATATGCTGCATCTGTACCAACCACAGTCATGCTGTGGTTGGCAATGGAGAAGAAAAGTTCTTGATTGAGTGCAGTGTTGATGATTCTCAACATAATTGTCTCCCCAGCTTCTACTGGAACACGCACAGTTCCTGCATTGTGTGTTCGTTACATCAATGAATCTGGAACCTCTCTCAAAATATAACTGCTTTTAAGTTAGTTAAGAATTTAACCTTAACCGTATTCAGCTATGCTTTCCTTTTTAAGACTTTATTATAATAAAAATAAACTTTAAAGGTTCAGAAAATCTGCCATTTGAAAATAAGTTATCAATCATTTTAATATCCTTTTCAACCGTTAAGGAATGCTGGCACACACTGAGTAGTAATTTTCACACCTTGGCTTGAGCATCTGTAAAGATCACCAGGTTGCCCATTAGTGGTATATGCAACAGATGAATTTGGAGGTAATCCTGCAAAGTCTGCCTGCCTTTGGAGAAACACAATATCCGAATCAAACCATTGCCCTGTGGCAGCAACACGGTAAAACTGTCATGACACTAAATGAGAAGCTCATTCGCATTTTAAATGTTTTTCTCTAAGGTATAGTTTGTTCACAGTGGAAGGAGATTCATTATTCAAGTGAATTGAGCAGAAGATGATTTTAGAGATGTACCAAGAAGGAGGGGAAATTCTTGCTTAGGCACAGAGAAGGGATAGGCAGAACCCAATCTGGGATGGATGATGAAAGCTCCATAAACAGTGGCTCTCAGGAAGCCAGTATGAGCATGCCACCATAATGTCCCTTCCTGATCCCTGATTCTAAATCGGTATGTGTAACTTCCCCCCGGTTGAATGGGACACTGTGTTACATAACTCGGCCCATCTGCCCATGGATTTCGCAGCATCCTTAACCCATGCCTGATGCACATAACCCATTATCACTTTGTGAGGAAGATCAGATTTATGCTCCAGGAGCACAGTAAATTGGTACATGGACCAAGTATGTATCAATAACATAGTATATCGACTTATGGACCAACTATTTATTGTTACATTAGTGTGGGGAAAAGTTCTGACCGAAGAGTATGATATTCAAGCATTAGTTCCATGTGAAAGTGAAAGAGAAAGATGATGCTATGTACCAGTGGATGGAGATGTTGTACTGTGCTGCATTTACTACTTTGATTATCACAAAATCCCCGTTTCTAGCTTCCACTGTTGGCCCTGGGAACTGCCCATTGACAGTGATTATGCTTTGGGTTTTGCACAGCCTCGTCACTTGCCTAGCTTGAACCTATTTCACTCAAATTATGATGGAATGATAATTACTAAAGACCTCTAACCATATTAAAGAAATGTAGAGAATAATTCATGATATAATTGAATCAGAACTTACAACAAATTCATGGAAATGTAACTCCGTAGCCGAAGCCAGGGAAGCAATGAGAGCAAACAGGGCTAGTACGAACCAAGAACAACATGGCTTACCAAGGAGGTGGGAAGTCTTCATTGTTGTTCTGGTTTTGTTTAATTGTGTTTCTTGTGTTGAAGGGGGTTTGTTTTAAAATGCAGCTATTTTGTAGACTTATAAATAGGGAAATGCCTGGAAAGAGAAATACTTCTGTTGAGTCATTATATTTTAGTCAACAAGGTTCTTAATATTTAGTAATTAGTCTAACAAAGTAGAGGACATGCATGGTGCACAGAGCAATCAACTGTAGAATGAATGCTAGATTGTGTTATTTTTAGATGAAAAGAGACGGAAAAGATTAGAAATACATCTTTAGTTAATAAATGTGTTTTCTTATGGTAAGATACTTGCAATCTTCTAAGCAGGTCCATCAAACTATGTGTAGGAAAATAGAATGATTAGACTCAACCAAACCAATATTTCCACATCTCATTACTGAGAGAGAAAGGAAGTTTTCAATATTTGTTTTGCAAGGGTACATAATTCTTTATCTCAATAATTAAGAGTTTGGGAGCAAATTTATAATTATCTTTTAACTGTCTTCATTCATATTTCTTTTAAGCTAGAGAAGGTTAATGATTTTCAATTTTCATCACTCCTATTTCCATTCCCCGATTACTGAGCAATGCATTATTCAGTTGGTCAAAACCAGAGTAACAATTAGCTAGAATCACAGTTATTTAATTAATTTTTCGGGTGCAGTCTCATTAGCAGTGAATGATGATATTGACCCTGAACTTAAATTGGAAGTTGTAACCTAAATAATGTACTACAGAAGAGGAGCAACATGAGTTAGGATACATATTGGTTGATGCAATACCATATTTTACTTCAGTTTGTCAAGCCTTGCAGTAATGTTACCAGAAAAAAAAATCCACTTCTAGTGTAAAATGTGCATACTTAACATTCTCCTTTTAATTAACTTATGCCTTAATTGGTTCTAAGTTATGAATATTTCTTTTTCTTGTTTTAATCTCAAAATAAAAAGTTTAGTAATCATGCCATGTGTCTTATGGTAAGAATCATACTCAAATGAAACGATGGACATTATACTTCAAAATTGTTGCCTAATTATAGCAATTTATGTGATTATAAATTGGTTCTTCTAATTTGATATACACGACTAATGGATCTAGCAATGGCTTGATTATGTTGATAATAGAATTTTAGATTTGATTCAACAATCCAAATGCTAATACGGTAAGCGGATAAAGGCTGGCTTAGTTGATAAAGACATGACTCGTATATAGTTTAAATTCTTTTGTTAATAATAAATCTCTGTATATTTGTAAGCCCTTTGTTATGACTTTTATGCTGAGATTTTGTACATGTTGTTATTTGGTCTAGATATATTAGAAAACATGAGATAATAAGGTTTATTAAGCTTCTTTATTATTAACTAGTCTAAATTTACTTTTATTTTAATAATATTCATATGTCATAATTAATTTTGATAGTTTAGTATTATATATGTTTATTATTTATAATAAAATATTTATTATTAACTACACTCTTATTATATATTTAAGGTAAGTATTATTCCAATAAAAACATATTATATATTTGAGGTAAGTATTATTCCAATAAAAACATAGATTTATAGTATATGTTAATTTTATAAATACAACTAATATTCTTTAAAAGGGAAATACTCATTTCATAATCATGCATACTCATTATATTCACAAAGGTCTTAAAAATAATAAAGAATTTCATTCCCACCAACAAATGTTTTTAAAGTCACCATTAAGATCTTACCTATTAGTAAATACACGTTTAATAAGATCAATACTTAACTCTCGTACACTTCTATAAATAAATAAAATAAATAAGAAACTAATACAATATTTATTGAAAATTATAAAATCAGGCGAAGGAGATTACTAAATAAAATACAAAATCCATTACATTTTTTTATTTTCAACAAAATTTAATCAATAAAAAAAAAGCATTCTCTAACATTTGTAAAGAAAAATATATCGTGGTGAAGATTGAGATTTTGTACATATAAACCTGAGAGTCCCCATTTCCTTTATTCTGAGACAGTGGCATATGGTAATAACTTAAGCTGGGAAAAAAGAAAAGCTAAGAAGAAAGAAAAAACAATAAGGCAATTAAGATGAGTTTGAATTTTTAGATTTTGTTGGGTGGTTAGAAAGAACACTGTTTCTTTTGTACGGTTTAAGTGTACAGAGTACAAAAAAAGTAGCAGTGATGAGAAGTCGTGGATGATTCCAACGTACAAGTGGCAATTGTTTCTATCATTTCATGCCACAATTTAAAGAAGTCATACCACTTTTAAGACCATACTCCTTCAAATACAATTGTGCCATTTTCTCCTCTCAACCACATTTTTTTATATCACCAAACTAAGGACATTGTTTGGTCCAATCCAACTACCAACTTTCCAGTTCTGAGTTAGATTAACTAAAACAATTTTTATTATAATATTTGTTAACATATCAACGAAATAAGTTTGATTAAAAATTTTATGATAACAAAAAAAAATTAAGTAGATTAACATATCAACGACTTGTAATTGTTAATTATATAATTAGAATCTTTAATGCTGTTTTGGGCAGAAAAATAAAAATAAAATATTTTTTAAAATTACGAAATTAATTTTAAATTTGGAAAAGTAAAAAAAATGTTTATCCAAAATTTCGGAGACTAAAACATGCTTAAACAGTTTTCTATCAAGTTCTATAATAATTTGGTTTTTATATTATATATTTATTTTACTCAATTGGAATAGAATGAATATTAATTTTTTTTCATTTGACATTACGACGTTTAGAAGATGTCACCGTGTCAAAATTTATATAAAATTAGGTGTGATTTTTTTTGCTATAGTAGACTCTTTCACATTTTTATTATTACCACTAAATCCGCTTGCATTTTATTTTTTTCTTTTTACTGTTGACAAGTTTTCTTATTCTTTATTTGAAAAAATAATTTTTTATTCTAAAAAAAATTAAAAACGAATATTTAAAACTATAGAAATATAAAAATGTTGTTTAGAAAAAAATTAATTACAAAAAAATATAAAAATAGAAATTTACAAATATCACAAAATATCAAATTTTTAATTGAAATTTACAAAATTTATCAAATAGAAAAAGTATTAAAATTTATTAAAAAAATTATTTAAAGAATAAATATAAAAATAGAAGTTAGAGTCAACTATTTTTTTTTCAAAATTTTGTTTTTCCTTTTTCTTTTAATAATTTGAACAACAAAGGTACATTTAAAAATCCGGTATGAGAACTAAATTTTGATTAGTTTTCTGGTGCAGAATGATCACATTGAAATTCAACTCTTGAGAGATTGAAGCTGAATTTTGACATAAAAACAAAGTCATGCTATCCTTTTAAATATTCTAACTGTTCTATGTTTAAAAAAATATTTCTTTACATTTACATCTTTAAATACAATAAAAATAATAAAATTTATTTCAAATATCTTAAATTAATATATTTTTATATTTCTTCTAAAATAAAATTTCTAAGATAAATTTCTATAATTTTTATATTTTCAAAATTTTATGAAATTCAATTAAAAATTCTACATTTTGTTATATTTTTTATATTTTTTCTATATATTTAATAAATTTTAATAATTTTTCTATTTTAAATTTTTTATAAATTTCAGTTAAAATCTTTTATATTTTTGTTATCTTTTTAATTTTATATTTTATATTTTTTTTCTAAATAAAACCTTTTTCTAAACAAAATTTCTATATTTCTATAATTTTAAATATTGTTTTGATATTTTTTTTCAAAATATAAATTTATATTTTTTCAAAAAAAAAATATAATTAAACTACGTCTACACTAAAAGTGTTTAGTTGAGAAAATAAGATGTATGTAAGTCTAGATGTGATAATAAAGATGTTAAAGAATCTACTATTAGAATAAAGTCGTCACGTGTTAAATCATTTGAAAGACGTTATGTGTCAAAATTTAAAAGATGCTCCATGTCAAATTAGAAAGACGGTAAGATAAAAGATGATCCAGATTTTAAAACGTGTCACCTTTCAAATGGTCTTAACATTAATTTAACGAAAGAGACAAAATTAATTCTATTTAAAATATATTAAGATTTAATTAGTATTTATCTCAGAAAACAAGCCCCTAGTGAAATTCCAAAAATGCTCTCTTTGAAAATATGACAGTTGTGTGTTTATGAGGTTTTGTTGTCATTTACTCACTACTACTCGAAAAGAAATTTCAAAATTGTCCATTGTACATGAATGACACTTGTTCCAAACCATTATCTTTTTTTCATTTTCATTATATTGATTTGACATTTAACAACTTTTGAAATTTTGAATATGTTACGAGTTGTTATTTTATTCAACCCTTTTCACACTCAGTTTAGAGGAACATGTAAGAGTTGGGTTGGTGTATTGAATACTTTAAGTGATAAATTAGTTTTAACATGAAAACTTGGAGTCTAGAGAATTTTCTTTAGTAGTATTGTGCTTTAAGCTTGAAACTGAGTTGTTAGTCGATGGGATGTCTAGGGTGTAACTAAGCTGTTAGATGATGGGTCGTCTGGAGATGTAACTGAGTTGTTAAATGATGGGTCGTCTGAAGATGTAACTAAGTTGTTGGTGTTAGAAATATACAGCGGAATGTTTAAAGTCTATACAAAACCAAGAGGAGGTGAATTTGTTTATTGATTGTTAGATGGTCTTGGTGATGGGGGAAAGGGCCAAAAATATAACCACTTATCAAAC